TTAATCGCCTTTTTGCAGTAAATAATACTCAACAACAAAATTAAATCTTTTCAGGTAATGATGCAAGCAGTTACACATATAAAGGTACTGATTACAAAAAACAAAAAATGTTATTTTCTGCAACAGTTTTACCCCAACGATAATAAGTTAGTTACAAATACCAGGTCTTTTCTAAGAGTGTGTACACTCTTAGAAAAGACCTGGTATTTGTAACTAACTTATTATCGTTGGGGTAAAACTGTTGCAGAAACTAAAATTTTTTGTTTTTTGTAATCAGTAGAGTAGCGGAGGGTAATATGGAATACTGTTTTCTATTATAGTAATAAATTCCTCTAGGTGCAGTACAGTGCATTAGAAAAGTCATTAAATATTGTGATAACTATCCATCTAGGCAAATAAAACTCTGGAATTTCAAAAACTTTATGAATTAAAAAAAAAAATAAGGTTAAATAAAATAAGTACATTCTGACATTACAAAAAAATGGTCGGGTAATATGGAATACCACTATGGGGTAATATGAAATACTAAATGAACTAGAAAATATATGCTTATAGGGAAATTTTAGCGACAAAAATCACAAATGTAAACATCCTTTGGCGTGTCGGCGCATAACTCATGAGCCCAAAGTTCACATCTTGCACACTGAATCCAGATTTCTCCCCTTGTATCAGCCGAATATAATCCCGAACAAAACAAACACTCAGCCTCTTCAGATGGACGATCATAAACAGGAAATTCTTCATCGTCGTTGGATGATGAGTCATGTAAAGATGCAGAACTGTTGGAATCTTCTGATGAATATTTACCTTCTTTTGATTTCTTTATTGCCTTTTTTTGAAATTTTTGTACGCCACTTGGTCCAGCTACCTCTGCATCTGCATGTTTAGGTTTTTTATTCTCTTTGTTTTTGTTAGTTATTTCTATTTTTCTTTTAACTTTATCCCTTTCTTTAACTGACGCTATTTCTATTGATTGCTCCAACTCTTCTTTGTTTGGGGTCGACGTCAAAACTTTGGCTTGACCTGCTTTCCGACCTCTCGTGCCCTCTTTCTTCCTCAAAGTTGGCTTGGGAATTATATCCCGTGGTAAAACTATGGTGGCATTCTGAGCCGTGTTTTCTGGTTGAGGTTTCTCCCGGAGCACATCATCTTCTGAATTTACTTGGACCTCATTTCTTTGTGCCTCCTGAATAAAGTCTTCTTCGGAGAATACGTTCCGGTTAACTGGAAACAATCCAGTTTGTCGAAATCCGTTAACAGATCTTTCACCACTTTGAATTTTCAGATACGCGTTACCAAAAAGTTCACTTAAATCAAAATGATTGACAGGCCGATTATTAGTTCTTAAAAATAGTCTTACTTCCTCACTGTAATATGTCTTTAATGCTCCCATAACAGTTTTATCCAATGGCTGCATCTTATGAGTTGTATGTGGCGGTAAGCAAAGTAAAGTCACATGGTTTTCTCTGGCAGCCAAAATAACGTCCAAATTTTTAGTGTGAGTATGGTGACCATCTAGAATCAGTAGAATGGGATTTTCTGCACTCGGTTTAGCATGTTTTAGAAAATGTTTGAACCATTGTGTGAAGATATCCATCTGAATCCAGCCTGACGGATGAAAGGAAAAAATGGTTCCTGGCGGGGCACCCTTCTTTAGAAGTTCACTGGCATTTTTTCTGGGAAAAATCAGAAGGGGGGGTACAAAATTGCCACTTGCGCTAATGCAAAGGACTGAGGTTATAAGTGAACCTCGTTCGGCTGACGTCATTGCCCCAACTTGCCTTTTTCCCCTTAGAGAAAAAACTTCTGGATTTCTTGATTGAACAATGGTTAAACCAGTTTCATCCACGTTATAAACTTGGCTTGCCGAATAATTATGCGTCTCCATTAGGGTCTCTAACAGGTCGAAAAATGTGTCTACATTTTCTTTATTAAATCCTAAGGCGCGAGCGTACGAAGTTCCAGTAGGTCTTCTCAAACTTAAAACATTTTTATGCCTCATTCTGAAGTGATGAAGCCAATCCTTGCCAGCTGATTTTCTTAGTAATGAAAATGGATGAGGAATATTGTTTTTTCTTGCTAATTGAAAAGCAACATTACAAACATCGCGACGCGTCAAGCCAAAGAACGATTTCTCCATCTCTAGACAGTGCTTAACTAATTCTTTTTCCAAAAAATCAGGTAAAACGGGCTTACGGCCTAATTTGGTACGGCACACAACTTCAGGTTCCATGTTCTTTTTGCACAGCCTGAAAAGTGTAGCTCGAGGAACATTGTATGTTTTACAAGCCTTCAAATAACCCATTTGTTTGGACCTGACTGCTATCACTGCTTTCCTCATATTTTCTTCATTCCACTTTTTGCGTTTTTTATCTACGACCCTAGTTTTAGGCATTGTTGATAACCTGGTGCTCGAATAAGACTTCTTAAACAAAAGAAATTAATTTTTAGATGGCACTTTTATGGGGAAACTTTTGCGGGTAATATGGAATAGTATTCCATATTAGCCGCTCTTAGTTATGTTGAGGTTATAATTTTTTTAAGATGTCTAGACGAGTATAGACCCGCAATAACTACATCTTATATTAATCTACAGTCCTTACTTGCTCTCTGATGAGAATATGAATAAAAAATCACCAACTAAATGATAATAAACTAAATTTTCACGAAACTCAACAAAAATTCTGCATGACTGAAAAACAGGTGTTGACGAATAACTATTTAACGAACGATTACAGAGTTACGCGCGTGTTTGGGTATAAATCCGTACTTAAGATAAGCATATTTTTGCTACCGCCTTGTAGATGGCAGCATAAGTTTAGCCAATTATATGGTATTCCATATTAGCCGATGTATTTCATATTACCCGCCGCTACCTTTATATGTGTAACTGCTTGCATCATTACCTGAAAAGATTTAGTTTTGTTGTTGAGTATTATTTACTGCAAAAAGGCGATTAAGTTATTTTAACTGAAACTTTGTGTTGGCTAGAAGTATTGACAACATTATCTCAAAAAAATCATTTCGGCGGTAAAATGTTTTTGTTGGACCAAATATTTAAGTAACATTCTCAACTGACCGAAATTAGTCCGTGGAACTAACGGTTCGGTTGTATAAACTATGCGTCACCTTTCACACAGCTAAGACACCAGCGGTGTGAAACAAAGTGTCAGTTGGGGATGTTAATGCAACTGCAAACTTTGTGCGCGATTTGTCCAGCCCGGCGCGTGCTTTACTTGCTTTTAACAGGTCTGTAAACAAACGGTGTTGCACGGCGTCCAGACTTTGGTGGTGTTTGTTCTTTTGTATTTGTGTATCAGCTCGTGTGTAGTGTATATTTTAGGTAAGAAAGTAGTTTATTACAATTAGTCATTTGCCCCTGTAAATTCAGTGGCGACATATTTTTTAACTATTCATATATATAAGAATATATTCTTATGTGTTGGTTACTTATAGATATCTCGAACAAATAATATGGATGAGCGGACTGTTGTAGAAGATTTATTAGGAAGATGGGGTTTACCTGAATTGGTTCCAGTTTTTAAAGGTTAGGTGTTATTATTGCACTCCTTTAATTACACTATTGTAGTTTTGGGGCCCGAAAAAAAAATACAAAAATGAATCCAATGGTGCCCACCAAAAGTCTCCATCGCGTCGGAATTTCGAGAATTTTTTTGTTTTGTTATGTTTTGTTACAGCTCAAGTCGCATTTTTGGTATAGGGCCTATATTAGAGGCACTCACACTCAAAATTTATCGAATGCTTACCCCTGTTATCATGCAAATATGTTACGTTGTACCTAAGAATCATTTTTTAAGTTGTTAAACATCACGGTTTACTGAAGAAGTATAGTCAACTTTCATCTTAATGTTCCTATCTGTTTATTTACCAAAGAATCGTTTTTGTTTTATTGTTCAAATATTTATAAATGTTTTCTTAGAGTAATTATTAATTATTGTTATAATGTTTAAACCAAAATTTGGTGTTTTCAGTTATATTGTTATTTTTTAATGTATAATAAATATTTACAAAACGAACAGGCATGAATTTCCTTTCTCTATTTTTTATAATATTTAAACAAAAAGTGTTATATTTACTAAGCAGGTATGTACTGTGGAATAATACCAATTTGTTGTTGCTACTAACGCAAGCATTTAATATTAAATATAACTTAGTTACAGTACAAAACAAATTTATATTATATCAACTATTAAATTCTTTAAATGTACCTTTTTTCATGTAATTTCAATTAAAAAATAAATTCCTGCATGATACAATGTTTGTTGCGATAAATAGCAAGTGCAGTTGTTACAACTTAGACGCTGCTAAAATGACAGACTAATGTGATTGCATTAAATATCAATTATTTGTATGAAAAAAAAAACTAATTTCGATGCACTTAAACTTGTTGGTTGGAGCTACCAATATTGGCTGTTCCGACAACAAACTGTAAAAACAAATTTGTATTGGTTCCCACAACATATTTTTTTGTTGTGCCTATTTTCACTAATAAAATTGGTTCTGGGAACTAAATTTTCATTGCAAATACCAGGTCTTTTCTAAGAGTGTACACAAGACTACCAGAATTCATTTTATTTAAAGTTTATATTAATGTATTATACAACTAATATTTGCACAAGATTATACATATTTAAAGGAAATAGAGCTTTGATTGCATTTAATGTAGCCATTCATGAAACCATAACTTTAATTGATGCCAATGATATAATTTCATTAAGATTCATTGCGGCTTTAATTAAATAAAAATTTAATTCAATAATTGCTTATGTTTTAACTAACTAAGTTTTAATACAGATTTAAGAGAATCACAATTTAATTCAATGACTACTTATGTTTGAACTAATTTTAAGCAGGTTTGCACAAATAAAAGACAATCATTCATTTGATCTTGCTGTAATTCAGGTATTGCAAATACAGTACACCATTGGCCCAATGGTTAAACCATTCACAATATAAAAGCTTTTTCTATGTGTATAACTTTATGTCATGGGTTCAATGGTTGTCAAGCCCATTCTTTCTTTCTTCAACTGCTCCAGACGATAAATCGATAAATTTATCATATCATCCAACATCCCTTTGATTCTATCCGCCTTACAATTCATATCCGAGAGAATATCGTCGATTTCTCTCTCTGTCTCTTTAATACTGAGAAAATCGCAATCGAACAGGTTGGCATCAACTGAAATAAATGGAATTTCCAATAGGTTTTTCCAGTTTCCAGATAGACGTTTGATTTCGTTGCCATCCAACCTTAACTCTTCGATTTTGGTGTTTTTAATGAGAACTTCGTTGAACGATTGCAAATGATTATGATCCAGCCACAAATTATTTATTTCAGACAAACCGTTAAAAGCACCAATGTCGATGGTTTTTAATCTATTGTAGCTGAATTGTAAGGTACGTTTTAAAGGTACTCGTAAATAAACTTTATTTCCTTGTATGTTGTTAAAGGCGTTTGCCGGAAGTTTTTCCAAATAATTGTTTCTAAAATTAATTCTCGATACAAATGGTATATTGTAGAACCAATCACTGTTCCAAATTTTTATATTATTGTTTTCGAGATCGATGTTTATTAAGTTTGGCATGTTGTTCAATGCTTTCCCATCAAAATTTTCTATAGCATTACTTCTTAAATTTAAGGAAGATATATTAAGGTTATCAAATACACCTTCTGGAATATTCTTAATTTTATTTTGACGTAAACTTATTGTTCGAAGTGATTGCAGTTCTTTAAAACAACCTGGCATCAAAACTTCTATGCCATCATTTAGCAATTCCTAAAAAAAATGTTAATTAATGAAAATATCATATAATAAGAAAGATGGTTTTGGTACTTACTATAGCGACAACTTCATCTAAATTAGATAAAAAATCTTTTGCAATAACTGGTAGATTGTCGTCCTCAATTGTTAAAGTATCATAACCAAATCTAGACACTTCTTTAAGATTATTAGTATCTTCAAGATCAATAACAATTTTTTGTTTTAACACTGCCGTATTAAACAACTTTACAATCACATTTTTACTTTTAAAACAATGAAACTGAAAGTTTACAAGCAATAAAGCGGAAAACATTGTTACTCGAATAATTCGTATCGTTTAGTAAAGCGCCTTTTATATTTTAAATTCTTTGAATTTAATGGACTTCATGATAACCTTTAGCTGTATAAATATAATGATTATTTATCAAAACATATCCTAAAATTTTAATGCAAAGAGTAAACAATTGTTTAGCTGTATAAATATAATGATTATTTATCAAAACATTTCCTAAAATTTTAAAGCAAGGAGTAAACAATTGTTTTGTATTAAAGATAACATTGAAAACAAACAATTTGTTGTTTTTATAAATTAAATTTTATTTAGACAGTTGCAAGAGGGTGTGCTGTATGCAAAATCTTTAAAACTCAACAGATTTCATCCCTATAATTAAAAATGAAACACCCTATTTTTTATTGCAGATTCGGATCGTTCGACTAAAAATAGGTAGATTTTGTCTAAAACATTTTTTCATATTTGTAATAGATTGCGCTGTAATGAAAAAAATTAATTTTGTTCGATTTTTCTTCTGTATACGATTCTCCAATAATTTTTGAATAAAATACTTGGTTTTATTTTTTAAATTTATTTATTTTTTAAATTTATTTATTTTTTAAATTTATTTATTTTTTAAATTTTAATTAAAGCAGGTGCTCAAAATGGTGGCCTTCGACTTCAATGCATTTATTAATTCGCATTTCGTTTTAATATTCTGCTAACACTGCTCTGGGATATTCCCAAATCTCTAGATAATTCTCGTGTGCTTGCATGAGGATTAGCGGCCGTTGCTGCTAATAAATTAATTTCATTATTTCCACCTGTGACTGTTGCTCGACGAACTTTTTTTTTCTGTTGAAAATGTTGTAGTAAACTTCTTGACTGTACTTGCTTGATCGAATTTTATCCGGAAAACGCTGAGGGTATATATTAACAGCATTATCACGATTCCTGCCTGCTTCTCCATAAATCAAAAGCATTTCTATTTTTTCTTCCACTGTTGAAAAATCCATTAAGAATAACTGCTTAACGAAAGGAGGTCTTTTTGTTTGCAAATTAATCTTCGAACTAAATTGATTAAATAATGCTAAACTATAAATAGTATTTTTTTACCTTAAATGAGGTATTTTTATTAAAATTAGTGAGTCAAGCCACGTCAAGTGGGACCAGAAAATTTCACGAAATCACCGATTTTGAAAATAATCACATTATTGTGTAGTAGGCATGACTCATATGTCACAGTAAAAAAATTATTTTAAAATTAGTTTTTTTGGTAATGTTATTAAGGTTAACAATTTTGTCAAACTTTAGAGCACGGTAAAATTGAAAAAATAGAATCTCTGGGACCACTCTATATAATTGAATTAAATTTTACACACTATTGTAGCAATGTTTAGACTATAGAATGATTATTTAATTATAGTAAATTTGTTTAAATAAAACAATTTTGCATACATTTATTATAAACAATTGAAATTTTGTATGTTTTCTTCACGCTGAAAAAAAATTAAACTTGTGTCTTATTATGCCGCAAACGTTCCCGTTTAATAAAATGTACTCAAAAATTTGTCCTTCCGGAGATATTAATTTTTTTGTCCCGCTGTGCGCTTGATCAGTACGCAGCGCGCTTTGCTTCTAGCTCGTCAGCATGCGGTGTGCATGAACGAGGTTTAAGTCACATAAAAATGTCGCTAAAAACTGCCGGCAGTTTCTTGTTCGGGACCCTTTGATATTTACCAAAATCCTACTGCTACTCTTTTCGAAATTTTTTGAAAATTCATGATTTTTTTGAAATTTTTGAAGATAAATATTTTTTGTGGATTATGCTTTTTACTATATATAGTAAAAAGCATAATCCACAAAAAATATTTATCTTCAAAAAATTTTATATATAAAAACGTGATTTTTGGCTAATCCTAATGATGTGCTCAGTATAAAAACAGTATTCTCTAAGTCTCGTTAACAATATACTCCAATAAAAATCGGTGTACAAATGGACGGCTTTCTGCAGAATGGGACCAACCCACACCATGATGAAACTGAGAAAAAAGCTATCAAAGATTTTAATAATTTTAAAATTACCTGTTAATTTTATGCCGATTTTGGACTTACGGAGGCTTAAGGGAAATAATTTAATAATTTCATCAGGTGGATTTTGTGATGTTATGTGTAAGGGAGACGAAAAAAATGGGCTTTTGTTGGTTGGTTCCTTTCTGCAATTTATGAAAACTACTATCTGATGTATGTATGTATTTCCAAACAAAATACAACTGAAATTACTATTATAATGGTAATATGAATTAATTTTGATTCTATTTGAAATTCGTCCACATCATCTTCCAACCCCACCTCATCTTGTAAGCTACCAAAAAAATGCATCAAGACTTTATATTTTGCAGAAGCAGGAAATCTTTAAAGACTTTGGTAGTGAGTCTACCAGCCTGCTTTTTTACCAAAAAGATCCAACCCACTTGCAGATATTCTACAGATTCTAATTCTGGATTAGTAATCCACACTATTATTAAATGTTGGTTGGTTCAATGATTAATAGATTTCACTACACTTGCATTTTGGCTATGACCTATTTTGCAGACTATTTCCCTCGTCTTAATTTCTACCAATCACAAACGCGCAATTTTGAATTACAAATGGTTTCTAGGTGAAAAAACTGTGTGACAGCAACTGTCAGCAGTTTATTCGAGTTTACCCGCGGCAAAACTTGACAGCTGTTGTCACCAAAAATTGCAATTTATATTTTAATTGTTAACTGTTACTCATGAAATAGTCTTGTCAAATACCATTCGGGCATATAATTTTTCCTGTGAAAAAAATCGAAAAAACACAATGCTAAGTAATATTTTTTAACAAAATGCATTCGTGCAGGTGCAAAAATCCTCCTCTTCGACTCGGATTTTTGTTGCCACCAGCACTCATGCTTTTTGTTAAAATATTACTTAGCAACGTGTTTTTTCGATTCTTTTCGGAAAAATTAAATGCCCTTATGATATTACTTACGATAAATTATACACACTTAATTAGTTCATAGGCTAAATATCTCGATTTTTTTGGTTTTGTGGGTTGGTTCCTTTCTGCAGAAAGGCGTCCTGGACGGTTTTCTGCAGAATGGGACCAACCCACACTATGATGAAACTGAGAAAAAAGCTATCAAAGATTTTAATAATTTTAAAATTACCTGTTAATTTTATGCCGATTTTGGACTTACGGAGGCTTAAGGGATATAATTTAATAATTTCATCAGGTGGATTTTGTGATGTTATGTGTAAGGGTGACGAAAAAAATGGGCTTTTGTTGGTTGGTTCCTTTCTGCAATTTATGTATGTATGTATGTATGTATGTATTTAAAGAAAAGCGACAATTATTTATTTCCAAACAAAATACAACTGAAATTACTATTATAATGGTAATATGAATTAATTTTGATTCTATTTGAAATTCGTCCACATCATCTTCCAACCCCACCTCATCTTGTAAGCTACCAAAAAAATGCATCAAGACTTTATATTTTGCAGAAGCAGGAAATCTTTAAAGACTTTGGTAGTGGATCTACCAGCCTGATTTTTTACAAAAAAGATCCAACCCCCTTGCAGATATTCTACAGATTCTAATTCTGGATTAGTAATCCACACTATTATTGAATGTTGGTTGGTTCAATGATTAATAGATTTCACTACACTTGCATTTTGGCTATGACCTATTTTGCAGATAAATTATACATACTTAATTAGTTCATAGGCTAAATATCTCGATTTTTTTGGTTTTGTGGGTTGGTTCCTTTCTGCAGAAAGGCGTCCAAATGTGTACTCTGCAAATTTAAAAAAAAGGAGTTAGAATTTTGGTAAAACAACATTTTAAATATTCTCTAAACGTTATTTTATTTAATATTATTAAAAATCTATTTTTCTTGTAAAAGGTTAATAGAATGCCATTTTGTAACCTGACAAACGTAGAAATATCTAAAAAAAAATTGGGGATAAATCTTTTTTGCGTGTTATGCCAAAACCATGAATTTACTCTTTTGCTTTATTAAAAATAAGTGATTTTTGGCTAACCCTGTATATATCAAATGATGTGAACAGTATTAAAAAGTATTCTCCAAGTTTCCTCAATAATATACTCCAATTTTATAAAAATCGGTGTACAAATGTGTACTTTGTCAAAGGTAGACTTTGAGATAAACAAAAATTTCAACAAAAATCATAAATTTTCAAAAAATTTCGAAAAGAGGAGCAGCTAGGATTTTGGTAAATATAATTTTTAAGTCACCAAAGGGTCCCGAACAAGAAACTGCAATCAGTTTTTGTCGGCATTTTTATGTGACTTAAACTTTGTTCAGGCACACCGGACGATCTAGCAGCGAAGCGCGCAGCGTACTGATCAAGCGCCCGCCGCGGCGGGACAAAAAATTTAATATCTCCGGAGCGACATATGAAGGACAAATTTTTGAGTACATCTTATAAAACAGAAACACACACATTAACATTGTGGTATAGATGTGCAGCCGTAAAAATTTTGTTATACTAAAGTTTGATGATTTTACTGTAATAGTAGGAATTTAAATTGTGAAAAGTGATATACTGATCCATTTATAGTGCTAAAGAATCATTTGAAGAAAAAAAATCAGTTTAAAAAGTTTAAAAAAAGGTAAATTAGAAATAGAGAAGCAAAATAAACGTAAATAAGTTTTCGGGCTGCAAGTCAATTGCAGCCCTTGTTTGAGTAAGATGGCGTCAAATGATAAAATAGAAGAACCGGATGAATTAAAATGCTTTAAATGTAAAATTTTATTTGATGAAATTAAAGCTGTTATACAATGTACTCATTGTAAACAATATTATCATGGTAAATGTGAGAACATAATGGATATGAGGGGATTTCATAAAAAAGCATCATGGAAATGTAAAAATTGTGGAGGTGAACCTGAAACAAAATGTGAACCTGGTCGTGCCAGAAAAAGAAGTCGAGCAGATCAAGATGATGATTTTATAGATAATATATATTCGATGCTAAATCAGTTGGTCAAAAACACAAACAAA